GACCCTCCCACTTCATGCCAGGGGTTGCTCATGCCCCCAGACTTCCCTGCACGGAGCAGTGCCTCGGGCCCTGCTGTCCCTGCCCTCTTGGGCCACTTTCTTCAAGGTAACGAGCTCAGCCATCTGGTAAGTAAGAGCAATTTCATTGGCCCCATTTTCCATGAAGTGTGAATGACTACTCTTTGCAGGGGATTTTGTTGTTGACAACGCCAGAATTTCCAGGCAATGTGTGATGTAAAAAATTCCAGTCATTAGCCGGCGCCGTGGCTCAATAGGCTAATCCTCCACCTTGCGGCGCCGGCACACCGGGTTCTAGTCCCGGTTGGGGCGCCGGATTCTGTCCCGGTTGCCCCTCTTCCAGGCCAGCTCTCTGCTATGGCCAGGGAGTGCAGTGGAGGATGGCCCAGGTGCTTGGGCCCTGCACCCCATGGGAGACCAGGAAAAGCACCTGGCTCCTGGCTCCTGCCAGGATCAGCGCGGTGCGCCGGCTGCAGCGGCGGCCATTGGAGGGTGAACCAGCGGCAAAGGAAGACCTTTCTCTCTCTGTCTCTCTCTCTCACTGTCACTCTGCCTGTCAAAAAAAAAAAAAAAAAAAAAAAAAAAATTCCAGTCATTGCTGGAAGATATTTATTTTCTAAAGGGGTTAGGGTGGAGTATTTTCTCAGAGCATTGTTAGCCAAGCAATTTAGGTGAGCTTGAGCTAGGAATCTGGAAATACCAGAAAATCCCAATTATTTGTCATCTTTTTCACCTTTTGCCTCCAAAGAGGTTTTCCCATTTCCACTCCTTGATTTTCTCTTTATCTCCTTTGAGCAGCCATGCAGTAATACTCAGCTTGCACCTGCTTTCCCCTGGCCCTCCTTCCTCCTTTTCTTTCTTATTGGTTGAGTTTCTACCACAGTGTCATACTTTGTGGATCAAAAGTTGCAATGAAATGTCTGGGACTATGGGTGAGACAGGGAGTACCCAGGCACTTCAGTGTGCTAGGGGTGGCTGTAAGCATAGAGCTGCACCAGGAGAGATTCCTTCCCTAGGCACCCAAGGGCAGGAAAGGAGACCCAGGAGGAGTGCTGGCCTGACCTGAGCCTGGAGGCACCAAGCAACAGAGAGGAGGAAGACAGGATATAAAGCATGCTCGCAGGACAGGGTGTTTAGCCTGGTGCTTAAAGTGCCTGCATTTCAGTTTCAGTGTCTGGATTGGGTTCTCAGCTCCAGCTCCTCACTCCAGCTTTCCACCCGTGTGGACCCTGGGAGACAACAGTGATGGCTCAAGTATTTGGGTTCCTGCCACCTACAGGGGAGCACCTGGATTGAATCCCTCCTGCCCCTAGCCTTGCCCGTTGTGGGTATTTGGAGAGTGAGTCACCATAGGGGAACTTTCTCTGCCTGCTTGCCTCCACCCTCCTGGGTTCACCTTTTTCTCCCTGCTTCTCAAAGAAATGTAATTAAGGAAAAGGTGCGGACTTCAGGGAGGCCTGAATTAGGAATCCAGAACCCCACCCGCTGTGCGGCTGGAGCTCATACAGAACTTGAAGACGTAAGGACAGGGCCAGAGCAGCAAGGGTTTGTACCTCAGACTTGGTAATCTACGTAGTATTTTTTTTATTCTTGTCTCACAATGCGTTTTTCTAATATAAGGAACACACACACATATGATTTCAGAATCAAATGATGGAGATGATGAAGAGCAGCCGCATCCTGGGCTGCTCCTCCTCCCTGCCCAAGCCTCATTCCCTGGGAAAACCAGTTTCTACCTCTTTTAGCTCCTCATCCCTGTTGTCACCTCCACGTTGCTTGTATAGTGTTTCTCTCTCCGCTTGTTAATCAAGCGTAGGGACTGTCTAGCAAATTTCTGTGCGATGATTTAGAACACTTCCGTTGTCACCTGCGTCCTGAAGGCACTGAACAGCTAGGAATGCTGGTAAACAGAAAACCATGTGATGGTAATGGCATGTGAGAAAACCCAGCTCAGAAGCCTGGTGGGGGGCGGGGTGCACTGAAGAAGGGGGAGATAACTGCAGGGTAAACAGGATGATAGGTGCCAGGGGTCTCCCCTAAGGCAATAGTGCTGTAAAGGCTGCATTGCCGAGAGAACGGGGAGACTAGGGAAAATGAACTTGAGAAAATGGCCTCTGACAGTTTAACAAGCATACCCTTGATCTTGATCCCAAAACCTTTTCATAAAAACCGCAAATCTAGAGAACCGCTGATCAGCCTCTCTATATAGACAGAAAATCCCCTAAGAATAAAATTCTAAAAATTAAAAGGAAAATTCATTCAGGTTTAATTCCAGAGGCTCAAGGGAAGTTGATTAAAAGAGAATCCCCAGAGCTGGCATTGTGGCATAGCGGGTTCAGCTGCCGCCTGCGACACTGACATCCCATATGGGCACCAGGTTGTTTCCTGGCTGCTCCACTTCTGATACAGCTCCCTGCTGATGGCCTTGGAAAACAGCACAAGAAGGTGCAAGTGCTTGGGCCCCTGCCACCTACCTGAGAGACCCGGTTAAGGCTCCTGGGTCCTGGGTCCAACCTAGTCCATCCCATGCCTATTATAGAGACTGGACAGTGTACCAGCAGGTGGAAGATTCTCTCTCTCTCTCACTCCTGCTTTCAAATACATAAATAATTATTTTTTTAAAAAAAAGAGAGAATCACTTTGGTAGGCATCAGAAAGTCAACCATGAACGTTCAATGACCCTTTCCATTTTAAAAACACTAAACTCTTTTTTAATCTTGCAAGGGTATCTATTCTAACCCAAGAGGTAGCATTCTGTATCAATGAGAAACACAACAGTTCCCCTTAAAATAAGAAGAAAAGCAGTGTTTTAAAAGCCCAACACTCTCATTACTTTCACTGCAACTTTCATGTGCTTACTTTTTTGTTTGTTTTCTAGAGAGAGTAATTGAGAAAAAAACAGCAACAAAACCCTACAAAATACCTCTGCTGCTCTTGGTGGGCAGCAAGTAAGGGAGCTGTTGGGTCCTCTGCAGCCTGGAGTAAGGGAGGGGACTCCTGGGGACAGAGTGCTAGAGGCGACCACTCCAGGGCAGTCACAGACCAGGCGGGTCTCAGGCAAAAGCTTGGGTTTTCTGCACCATGTGATCACTCGCTGGTGAACTTGTGCAGAGGAGTGCCTGCATGTGAAGGAATCCATTGAAAACGCAGAGGAGCTGGAGAGGGGAAGCCAGCAGGGGATTCTGGTGACCAGAACTGTTCTGAATGGTTTCCGTTAGTCATGGTTTCACATTTTTGGCTAGAGGCAACAACTGGTGACACTCCCTTGCTGGCCTCTAGGGGCACTCTGATCTTCACAGCCCTCCCAGGCAACTTGTGCAAAGTGCCTGTTCTTCCTGAGAAAGGTTGGTAGCATTTTTTCAGACATACACAACCAAAATAAAAAGTTTTAATATTTACAAAAATTTTATGCAGATATATGTAGCATGAATGTAGTTACCTTATTTCCATATTTAAGGTTATTTTGTTTCAAAAGTTAACATATTTCTCATTTATTGTTTTACTTACTACCTGTATTGGTTGATTTTTCATTATTTCACAAAATACCTAAGACTTGGTGACTTTGTAAAGAGAGGAGGTTTTATTATGGTCCATAGCTTTAGACTCAGGTTGAAGACTTGCATCTGATAATGGACTTCCTGCTGGCAGAGTCCAGAGGTGGTGCAGGATATCACATGGTGAGAGATAGTTGGTACACATGTGTGTCTCATCTGATCTCTTCCACTCTTCCAGTGTTCAGCCTTGGGGGCCTCACCCCAATGATTCTACCCAATCCCAATCACTTTTCAAGGGCCCCACCTCTAAACACCAGAGTTGGATTAAGTTTTCACCCTCTGAATACCTCACAATGGAGATTAAATTTCAACAGATGAACACCTGGGGACACTCAAAGCATATCTGAACCTTAGCACTGCCTGACTCTCAAAAGGAGTTGGCATGTTTTGCAATAACAGTCAGATGCTATAGAAACATTAAATAAACAGCCAGTCCATGAACCAAAAAGAGGGAATTCATGGATAGTTTTTAGAACTAAGGACAAAAAAGAACTCTAAAAGCAGCCTAAAAATGAATGAATGTGTTGAATTTACTTGTACAATTTCATAGTGGGAATTGTGTATACAAGAACAGTTTTCCAGAAAGAGAGTCCACAGAGATAATTATATTCTCAGACAGGATCAGCAATTAAAAAAAAGTTGAGGATTGTTGACGTTGAATTCTCTTACTACCCCTGTGTAATAACTTTCACTGAAGTAGGTTGGCCTTCGTCTTACCTTGGTCTAGCGCTATTCTTTCTATGTCTGCTACTCAAGACAGAGGAGCAGGGGCCCTTCTTCAGAAGTAAAATCCATATAGTGTCTCTTGCCCCATTTTTGCCCTATTCTATATTGCCAAATCATACTAAAACCACAATTATTGTGTTTATGGTGCTTTATAATTTATGAAGTCCATCCAAATACATCATCTAAAGTGACCTCTATGGTAACCCTGGGAGCTAAGCATTAATGTCTCTATTTTATAGATGAGAAAACCTCAGGTTCTACGGTCTTCAACAACATGTTCAAGGTCTCACGAGAGCTAACTGGTCATGGCTGGGCCCATCCTGGAACCTCAATATTTTTTTATACACTGACAGTGTGTTCTACCCATTGGGAGCCACAGTGAGTTTGGAAAAGCTGAGCTTTGTGGATAGGTGAAACCATCCCAAGGCACTAAACTCTCTTCCCATTGGTTTAGCCTTCTTTACCCAATGCTCTGAAATGTGTCCTCAACAGCTCAGTACATACATCATAAAACGCTCTCACACATATATGACATTGCTGGATGGCAGCTCAAGCCATTAGCATATGAACATACATGAAATTTTTCATGATTAGATTCATGCCCTGGTCAGAGTTAGCCATATGGAAAGTAGACTGGGGATCATGGTGATGGTGGCAGTAAGGGGATCCCATCAAAAATTCTCATCCTGGAATCCCCCATAGGAGGCCTACGTGACTCACCAGGATAACATCCGACTGGTGGGAGAGCTGGTGACCGTGACAGGGGCTGTGATCATTCTGCTCCTAGAGGTGAGTGCAGGTGGGACCTTGGCCGAGGGCATCCACCTGAGGCCACAGGCTGAGGTCTACACTGGCCTCTTCCTAGATCCCAGACATTTTCAGAGTTGGTGCCTCTCGCTATTTTGGACAGACCATCCTCGGGGGACCCTTCCATGTCATCATGTGAGTGTCTCCTCCTTCTAGCCCTCTGCCTCTACTCAGAATTGCTCCAGGTCTCCAGTTCATCCTATGGGATTTAGGCCCCAGGTGACCCTCACACAGGGAATTTCTCTCCAATGGGCTCATGTGAATGACTATATGTGTGTTTTAGGTGTTAAGATCAAGCTTGTGTGGGATATATGTGGGATACCACCAAGTCACCACCATGCTGTAGGGGACCTGGAATATTCCTATTCCACTTCTCACTGCCTGCTCTCCCCTCTCCCGCCCCCAGTATCACCTACGCTTCCCTGGTGCTCCTGACCATGGTCATGCGGCTCACCAACATGAATGGGGAGGTGGTCCCCTTATCCTTTGCCCTGGTGCTGGGCTGGTGCAGTGTCATGTACTTTGCTCGAGGATTCCAGATGCTAGGCCCATTCACCATCATGATCCAGAAGGTCAGTGTTTCCCCAACTTTCCTCTGGTTCAGCTACAGGACTTTCCTGGAGGGAGGGGTGGGTAGGTACAGACAGGAGTAGCTGCTCAGAATAAAGCTGGTAGAAGTATGGGACCCCTGATCTGTTAATGACAGCTGACCAGAGACAGTAGAGGGTCACCCCACCTTTGTTCCTTTCCTCTATTTTCGGTAGATGATTTTTGGAGACCTAATGCGTTTCTGCTGGCTAATGGCTGTGGTTATCCTGGGATTTGCCTCAGGTAAAAGCGCTACTTCTATCATCATTAGATCGTTGAGTTCAGTTCTCCAGAAAGTTCACTCTCACTCCTGCTCAAAGTTCTCATTTTCACTCCATTTTGTTATCTGTGTGCTTATTTTCCTGTTGGGAAGTAAGTCTAAGTAAGGCACCCACTAATATCCGTAGGGTCAAGGCCACATGGATTGACCTAGAAGGTAGACTCATGGATTCTCGGCCAATAACATTCATGTTGACTAATAGATCTGCAAGACCTCTAAAGTAGAGACAGAGAAAAGTCTTTGGAGAGAGAGGGACATTAAACAGAAAAGACTGGCCAGTTGTAGATCTGAAAACTATGTGGGCAAACAGACAACGTGAAGAATATCTCTCCTGTGTTTACTGTTGAAAAGAAAAAACATAAAGCATTCAGTAAGATAGAAGTGTCCCTTTTTTATGTATGGCCATTTAAGGTTGAGAGATCAGGAAATCATTTTATCACAAGGGACAGAGAAAGAATACTTTTGGAGAGAGATTTGGAGAACTGAGACAAGCAGGAACTCAGTCAAGGCCCAGTGGGAGAGTACCAGGCAGTGAAAGAAAGGAACAGCACAGGGAGAGAAAACAGGTAGAGAAAGAGCCAAAGGATAGAATGGTAATTAGTAGAAGCAATTTTAATGGAGGGAGTGAAGAGGAAGCCCAGATCTGAAGAGTAAAAGGTAGCGACTTAACTTCAGCCTTCAGTGTCTGCAAAGATCATCCACCAGACAAGAGCTACTAGAAGGGCTTCGAAGACCACCCCAAACCAATTTCAAAGGACTGTGACAGGGTACAGAGGACTCTGTTACTATCCTCAGGAATTGCCCTGTTTAATGGAGGATTTCCTCAAAACAGTTGATGAGAAAAATACAGCAACGTGTAAAGTATGACAAGATTAGCTCTGACAGTCTGCCTGTTTGGTGAATTCCACTCTCCTGAGCCTTTAGGTGCTCCTTCTCTTCACACCCTGTTCTATTTGCCTCCATGCATAGACTACAAATACACGAAGTACAGTAATGATAACAGAGTAGCTTCTACAGACATTCCATACCCAGAATCCCCCAAACTATCGCTTACTGGTCATCGTGTTTGCTTCTTTCTTCAAGAAAGAAGCATGATTTGCCATAGACCCTATTTCTGCTTTTGGAACCACCTTATGCTTTTGTTCTTGTACGTGGAGAAGCCCTTTAAAGAGTAGTATACAATACCCACTCCCGTTCTGTAGGCTGCACACTGCACAAGGATGCCTTTCTGTGGTGATCCAGGCTCACCCAGGGAATCTCAGAGTAGATGGTTATCCAGAGGCCATCAAGATAAAAAGGTGTTCTCCTTTTAGGCTTTCCACGTATTCTTTTAAAAATTGTTGGAGATTCCATGCATTCTTGTAACAACTTGACTGTTAAATATTTGGTTTTCTGAAATGTAAAAACCAGTTAGGTTACTTATTGCACACATACACACACAGAGGCATACTTTTTTTTGACAAGTCGCTAAGTATGATCATTATCCAGAGTGATGAACTTCCTCATAGGGTATCTTAGGGTTGGAGAGTTTCACAGTTGACCACATTTATGGATATATAATTGTGTGTACATGTGGAGTGTGGAGACGAATGTATCAGAGGTGGAGTGAGTGCTAACCACTTACTGTGCTAATTCCATTTCCCCATCTCCATGTCCTCCCCCTGGGGTGGGGAGCAGCGTTCCATATCACTTTCCAGACAGAGGACCCTAACAACCTGGGGGAATTCTCTGACTACCCCACGGCACTGTTCAGCACCTTTGAGCTGTTCCTCACCATCATCGACGGCCCCGCCAACTACAGTGTGGACCTGCCCTTCATGTACTGCATCACCTACGCCGCCTTCGCCATCATCGCCACACTGCTCATGCTCAACCTGTTCATTGCCATGATGGGCGACACTCACTGGCGGGTGGCCCAGGAGCGGGATGAGCTCTGGAGGGCCCAGGTGAGTTTACTAGTGTTAGACTTGCTGAAGGGCAGGGGATGCAGAGAAAACTCAATCTTTAAGTTTTGGTGGACCACTCTTAGGGGAGTCATAGAAGATCCCAGTGGGGATATCACCACAGAGTTTCATGTGAGTCTGAGTTACCTGTGGGTGGATGGAGGATGGAAGCAGAGAAAATAGGGCTGCCAATCACATGTGAAAAGTTGATCCAGGAGTCATCCTCAAGTGCCCTGGGAACTGTTCTATTCTTCTATATTCTGGTTTTGCATTTGGACTTATCTTCTGTTTGCCTCTGCAAATCATTTTTTCTCTTTTATATCATCATAGGCTAATAAAATATTAGAGTTGGAAATCACCCTTAGTGATCCTGTGGTGAACACCCTACTTAATTAACATAACAATCACCTGTTGGTCAGAGGGCCCTTCCGTATCTTCTTTAATGCCTGATAATATAACAGTGTACACTGGGGTAGGTGACTGGAGGAGGGCAGTTTTTCCCTATTTCGAAAGTTTCTGTTATAGAAACCATTGGTGTTGCATTGAACTGAAACGCAGTCTTCCTATGATTCTGTTCTCTGACCCAAGTTTTCTCCTCTCATGTAACACAGAACACATCCTTCCATATGAGTTGCATTCAAATGTTTGAACGCATCCCTCATTTATCCCCTCAAACTTTTCATTCATTTAGCGATAATCATTAGGGACTCTCTGTGTTGGGCAATGTCCGGACGCTATGGATACAGCACAAACACAACAGATACAATCTGTCCCCTCATGGAGCTGAGAGCTTAGTAGTAAAGACAGACTTTAAACAAATGACTCCACAGAAATCTGTGAGATTGCAGTCGTTCAAGTGCCACAGAGAAGGTCTGGGCGCTAAGAAGAGGAATCTGAGAAGTTAGCAACTGCTTTCAGGGAACGTGACATGTAAGATGAGACCCTAAGAGGCGGGTGTTTGACGCAGTGGTTAAGATGCTTCTTGGGACACCTGCATTTCATATCACAGTGCCTGAGTTCACGTCCCAACTCTACTTCTGATTCCAAATTTTGACTAATGCACACCCTGTGAGGCAACAAATAATAGCTCAGGTACCAGGGTTCCTGGTGCTCACAGGGGAGAACTGGATGGAGTTTCAGTCTCCTACTTCAGCATAGCACAGCCCTAGCTGTTGAAGGCATTTAGGGAGTGAAGCAGAAGATGGAATATTTTTTGTCTCTCTTTCTCTCTCTCATTGTCTCTCTGTCTTTCAAATAAATAAAAATAACCAAATAATCAAATAATTTTTAAGAAGTTGAAACCCTAAATATACATAAGAATTAGCCAGTTGAGAGGATTGATGAGAAAGGGTAGAGGAGGTCAGGGTTTGTATCAAATAGGTTGCAAAGACAGAAAACCAAATTCAAACATTTCTCTAAAAAGAGAGAAGAGAATGTGTTAGTACCTGTAAGTGGAAAATTTAGAGAATTAAACTAGCTTTAGGGATATCTGGCTAGATCCCCAAGTCAGTTTCTCTCTTCTGCTCCCCTTTCTCTGGACTATTTTCTAAGGCATGCCCTTTTATTATGTGATTGACATAGCTGAGAGGATTTCTAAATGCCCGAAAGGATGAGCAGGTGCACTACCTCACGTAATTCCATGGGTTCCATTCGTGCTGTATCCTGTGACTCTCCTGATATTGGACAGTGCTGTGGGGTTTAAGAGAGTGTCTTTCTCCCTGAAAATTCAGTCCGAATTCCATCTCCTTACAGCAAGTTGGGGGTTTAGGCCATCTTTAAATTTAAGGTAAGGTCAAGGACTAGATGGTGATGGGGGTTGGTGGTGGTGATGAAGTGGGGGCTTGGCAGAGGATAGACTTAACCAATGAGAACTGTGCACAGCCAGCATGCTCTAACCAATGTACTGAGAGTGGTGAAGGAGTGATTTTTAAAATAAATGATATGTGTTGTTACCAGAAAAGAAAGCAGGCTGAGTGATATAGCACAAGAACAGTAAAATGTGTTTACAATGGAAATAGAGTGCTTTCCAGGAACAGAAGATAGAATATTGGAAGTCCTGATGTAGAAGGGAATTTTGTACAACCAAGAAAGCAAGGGAAGTATGGAGTAAAGAAACAGGAAGTAGAGAACATGATGAAGAGAACTGGCCATTTTAAGGACTGCTGTCTCGTCCAATGAACCAGTAGGACTTCCTGCTGGTCCCAACCCATCCTGAATATACCTTCTGTTCATGTACTAATAGATCATGGCTTTCAAAACTACAATGGCTCCTGATATGATTGGAGCCATATAGTACTAGTAGGGGTTATGCCATTCCTTACTTTGTATGTAATACTATTATTAATAGCACTTAAATTTGGGTCAGATCTTTTAGAAAATATATACCTGGCTCTTATTAAGCTTAAGGTCCACTAGAATCCTGGCATCTTTGTGACATGACTTCCTTAGTCTCTCTCTTTAGATGTAAACATAGGGCCTCATGGTTGGTTTTCTTAAATTTCAAGTTGTTGGGCTTAAACCAGCATTCTAGTTGGTGAGATAATTTTATATAGGTTTTGTCATTCCACATATTACATATCCCTTCCAGTTTTGTGTCACAAGCATATTTTATAAGCTTGTCTTCTGTGTTTCATTGAGGAAGTTAATGAGCAATGGACAAAACACAGGACATGTTACTAGAATTTCCCCCGCCAAGTACACAATCATTAATCAACCTTTCCTTCTTAAGATGTGGATATTTAATTTGCTGCAAACTCTCCGAACTGGAGAAGCATCCTCCAGTACATAGAGGTTCTTAAACATTTTATTTCAATCAAGGTCATTGGTCCATGGCTTTCATATGAAAAAGGATATTAGACTAGCTTGGAATGACTCATTTTCCACAAATCAGAATGGCAATGTAGGGGTAACTATTCTATTCTAAATACTCATAAAATGCCCTTTCTCCTTTCCTAGTGGACATGGTGCCTGGCCAGGCCAGTGTCACATAAAGAGTGCCCTGACCACGGGTCTCTGGTGTGTTCATCTCACCAGGGACCAGATTGCAGTTCTCTCTGTTGGTGGCTCCAGCACCTCTGTGAACTTCACGGCTTTTTCTGAGTTCTTCCTCTCTCACCTCCTTCTAGGTTGTGGCCACCACCGTGATGCTGGAGCGGAAGATGCCTCGCTTCCTGTGGCCTCGCTCTGGGATCTGTGGGTATGAGTATGGACTAGGAGACCGCTGGTTCCTGCGGTGAGTGACAGCAGAGTGTGTGTCGACTGCAGATGGGTGAGAGTCATGGGAGCCAGGGCAGTGGAGACACATCCTGAGAGTGCTTCTGCCTTTGGGGGGAGGGGCGGAGCTGAGGTGGAGACGTAGGAGGAATGCTGGCAGCAGGTGCAGGCTCTGTGTACTTGAGGGTAGCTATGCAGGGGAGATCAGGTCTATGTGACTGTGCTCAGGTGTGAGCATGGGTCTCTCAACTTGTGTTACTCCTGTCCCAGACAACCCCCATTTCCAGTATCTTCTATGTCAACTCTGCCTCTTCCATGCTCCACTCTCGTCTAACCTGGCTCTTCTCTCTCCTCACGTCTTTCCTGAGTTGCATCTCCTCACTCTTGTGACACAGTTATCTCTTCATTGCCTCTCTTTTTTCCTTCACTTCCCATCCATTAGTAACACACATACACACTCACACTCACATACACTCAACGCATGTCCTAGTACCCTCCAAATCCTGCTTGCTTGACCTCTTTAGCTTCCACTCCAGTCCCCTTCTCCTTACTTGATCCTAGAGGCTCTTGTTCCTTCAACGCTGGTCCCTCCTTCCTTTCCCTCGAATCCTCTATTTTCTGTGTTCACCTCTGCATCTCCTTGTGTCCACTCTCACCTCCTTGGCTGAGTCCTTTCTTTTTCCCCTCAATAGGGTTGAGAACCATCATGACCAGAATCCTCTGCGAGTGCTTCGCTATGTGGAAGCATTCAAGTGCTCAGACAAGGAGGATGGACAAGAACAACTTTCTGAGAAACGGCCCTCTACGGTTGAGAGCGGGATGCTATCCAGAGCCTCTGTGGCATTCCAAACCCCCTCCCTATCTCGAACCACATCCCAAAGCAGCAACAGTCACCGGGGCTGGGAGATCCTTCGTCGAAACACCTTGGGACACTTGAATCTTGGACTGGACCTTGGTGAAGGAGATGGAGAGGAAGTCTACCATTTCTGATCAGGATCCCTGTTACTCTTGACCTGACTCATCTCACCCTTCACATCAGCATGTCTGGAGATAGGCATGTTCACCTATTGTCCACACATCTGCACTGTTGGGAGTTCCACAGTTTGTGAAAAAGGGGTATCTTTTTGAACATAGTTGGACTTGGTAACTAAAGACATGAGGTAGGGATGCTAGATTAATGTCTGGACCATCTTTTTTTCTGTCTTATGTGGGCACTGGGAAGTAGAAAGCCCTGCCTGGTTCCACAGGGCTTACTGTGAGAAGAGCCAAGCATGATATAGAGGTTGTGGACTTTCCCGTCTTCCTGGCATCTTGTAGGATTTTTCTCCATACTAGCAATCAAACCTCAACTACAAAACCTCCAGAAGAAAGATTCTATATTCTTACTTTATTCACATTTTCTTTTATTGTAGGAAAATACAGATAAAATATACTGTTTAAATCATTTGTAGATGTACCATCTGGTGGCGTTAAGAACATTCATATTGTATAATCATCACCATTGTTCATTTACAGAATTTGGTCATGATCCAAGACTGAAACTCCTCTTATAGCCATTAAACAATAGCTCCCCACTGACCCCTGTCTCCAGCCCCTGATAACCGATATCCTAATTCCTTTCTATGAATTTCACTGCACTAGGTAACTCATATAAGTGAGGCCATGATAGTCCTGTTGAGTCTGGCTTATGGCACTTAGCATAGTGTTGAAGGAGTCATCCATGTTGTAGTACTTATTCAGATTTCAGTCTTTCTTAAGGCTGAATATTTTATTATACAAGGGTACTTCAAAAAGTTCAGGGGAATTGGAATTAAAGGATAAGCTTATTTAATGTAAAAAATCTCAAAATCCATGCATAGCTTTTTCTTTGACCTTTTTGAAGATGACTCCTTTATGAAAAGTTCATGAAAAATGTGTATTATTCTACATTCCCTCCTATTGAGTCTGACGTCATATCTCACTGTAGTTTTGATTGTCTTTTCCTAAAGTCTAAGGATATTGAGTATCTTTTCATATGCTGATTTAATAGACATGTGTGTATCTTCTTCTGAAAAATGTCTATTCAAGTTCTTTGCCCAGTTTTGAATCGGGTGGCTTTGTTGTTGTTGTTGAGTTGCCTCATCTTTGTGAGATTCAGAGTCTGAAGTGTTTGCATCTCCTGGTGTGTTTTTTAAGTATGTGTGATAAATTGTGTGTCCTGTGTTTGAATGGCTCAGTCATTTCTTCCATCATCTCTTCCCTGCTTGATCCCGCAAGTGCTTCGTGGCCTCTAATTGTCCTTGGGCCTGGAGGCAACAGGTTGTTGTTTTGTGTCCTGCAGTCGCCATCCTCCACTGCCATTTCCCTTTGCTCCTATGGTGACTTGTGAACAGCAACAATAGAATACAGGCCATCCCTCAGTAAGAAGGAAAGTTAGAACCGTGTGTCCAAGCACACATTATAGGGTCTCATGCGCAACCTTTCTCTTGTCCCTGACCCTTTCCTGCCCATTATATCCCCATGAAAAAGTCCTAACAACTTTTAAGAGGTCTGTGGTCCTGAATCCCAGTGATCAGTGGGATTTGTGAAACCATAGGCAGGTTCATTCAGATGCACGATGCAGAACTGAGTGTTGAACAGTGGGGATGACACCGACATGCACACTCACACGTGCTGGTAGATGTTGGTGACATGTTGTTGTTAAGTGCTCAGTCATTATGATTTCTCTTCCTCCTCTTCCCCAGGGGAAGTGCTCCCACACCTATGTCAAGGGAATGGCCCATCTGCGCTCCAGATCCATTTCTCTTTCTGCCTTTTCAGACCCCAGCGCTCTGCAGTGTCTCCTCCAGACCTCCAGTCTGTCTGCACTACCCCTGTTAGCAGAGAAACATGCTCTGCTCTTTTCCATTCTCAAAGAAGCTGAGAACACTGTCCCTCAACCCTGTCGCTGTTATACTTCCAGTTTTACTCCCTGTTCAGGCTCCTAAGTCCTAGTGCTGGACTTCACTGTCTACTGGCTGCCGACTGATTCCTCAGGCCCTTGTGGTCTAACCTTTCTGCTCCACGCTGCTGATGCTCCTCTTGTCAAGGTTACCTACCTGCAGGTAAACCCACTGAACAATCTTAGTTTTGCTTGGACTCTATAGCATTCAGACTATTCACCACTTCTGAACATGTCTAGTGCTACAAATTCCTGTGTCCCTGGCTGCTTCTCTTCTACCAATCCCTACACATTTTTGGTCCAAAAGCCTCGTTGTTTTCCTCAGCACCTGGGTAGTCCCACTTGCCTTCACAGAGTACCACATGGAAGTTCACGATTCTGCGCCCCCTGTCTTCTGTTGTGATTTGTCTTCTGAGCACCAGGTGTGAACAGCTTGGACACCTATCTGTTGGCCTGCACTCCCTGGGTATTTCATAGGCAGCCCAAAGTCGGCATGTCCTAAATCAAACATCTTTTCTTCCCCCCACCAAACCTGCTCCTCTGGCAGCGTTCTCAGCCAAGTAGATGGCAGCTCAGTAAGCAAAGTGGCCTGGACCAGGGTTCTAGGCGTCATGCTCAACACTTCTGTCCCCCTCCTCATAACAAGTGTATATCAAGTCCTATTCCCTAAAACATCTCCTTTGAAAAACAACAGAAAAGTAAGGTTCTCATTCACCAAAATAATCTTTTTCTGGACTTTCCACCTCTCCTTTTC